GTTGTCCTGGGGAAAGTAGCAGAGGAGCAGAAGCCTAGGAGGTGGAGTCATGCTTTCAGTGACTCAGTGTCAGTTGTAGTTACTAATGATAGTGTTGCTGTAACCTCACCAAAGGCAATTATTTTTCTCAAACAAAGGTTGATTTTGGTTAAATTTTACCATGAATACTAAGAAGAATTTTCATTGAGTCTATAACTAACATTTATATTTATAAAACATATAATGTGCACCATCCTCTTTTCCTTTCTATAGGTCTAGAGGTTCTAAATCTAAGAATTCAGCTCATATATGTTAAAGAACATACAGACAATACTAAGTTGCAACTCATAAAATAGAATTAGATTGTGTAGCAGTAAATGAGATCTTAGTAATCTTATCTAACTTCATTTATACTTAGTGAAACTCAGACTCTGAGCACTTAGTACCTTTCCAAAGGTCGTAGAGTAGTTGTAAGAAAAAACTGAACTGTAGTGCAGGTCATGTTTTTTGCTCATTATAACATTGAAGTTCTGTAAGTTGCTGGCCCTGTGGCTTCTCTCCAGTTGGATCTAGTGTCTACCTCTGTCTTCTACACTCTCCAGGAGATCTTGCCTATTATGCATACATTCCCAGCAGTGAGCCAGCTCTCCACCAGTAACACATTTCTGTGTTGGTCGTTTGTTTGTTTGTTTGTTTGTTTGTTTGGGGGGCTTTTTGGTACCAGGAATCGAGCCTAGGGCCTCATGTTTGTCAGGCAGACAGACATTGTGCCCCTGAGCTGCATTCCCAGCCCAACATAATTCTCCTTGTCCCTTTTGTGAGACTGTGTAACCTCTCAGATATAAACCTATTTTTTCTTGTTTTAAAAGTTACAAAAAAAAACCACTGTCCTTGTGAATTCTTTGAACACTTGTTTTTCTCATACTTGGACACAGTGCTTTTTAAAGCTGAAGAAGGGCCAGCCAGATAGTTCATAGGGCCAGCCAGATAGCTCAGTGGACTAAAGCATCTGCTTAGGCAGAGCATCCCGGATGCCTGGAGTGCTGTGCCAGCCCCAGCCCTGCCCCTGGGGCGTGCTGAGACAGTGATTGACTGGGCATGGTGGCACGCTCCTGTAATCCCAGAACTTGGGAGTCTGAAAACAGGAGAATCACTATGAGTCTAATCTACATAGAGAGACCTTGTAGACCCTGTAACAAATGCATAAAAAATAAAATACAGCTGAAGAATTAGACGTTTCCATTTATTGAAAAATTGATTTGCTTTCTTGGCCTTTTGTTATTAAAATCATGTATCCTAATAGTGGACATTCAGCTTCATAGCTTTACCTATAATGTATTACAGAAATAGCAGGGTAAGTTTGAATGCCTGATAGACTGTTAACTTTTAATTGAGGCCTTCTGTAGGATTTCCTGGCCTGTGTCTTGAACTTTTACTTAATGAGTTATGGAAAGTTATGTGTGCTGCTTTAGTCTGAGTTAAGATGATGATTTACATGTTTTCATTTCCAAAACTTCGGTATACTTGCAGCAGAGATTGAATAATGAAGTCAGTGGGGCTCCTAACCTATACTGGACCCCTTCCTCTGTGCTGGATGCTTAGGGCTATGAGTGAAACAGACCTAAATGTATTTTTACATCAAATTAGAACACTTAACTTTATGCCTTACAGGTGAGTTTTGAGTTCTCTTGAAATCATCAGTAAAATACACCTTTTAGATGTAAAGTATTACTTAAGCAGGAGAAATTCAGGATGAAATAATAATTTCAAATAATAATTTCAAAAATCTGGGCATTTATTTTGGTTCATTTTTAAAATATTGTGTTCATACTAGCTTTTAAAGATCTGGTTTGAATTGTGCTGTTGGGTGTAATGTAGCTATAATGCATTTTAAATATTTGACTTGTGGGCTGGCCAAATAGCTCAGCAGATTAAAGTGCCTGAAAGCAGGCGCAGGGGCCAGGATTCAATCCCCAAGCCTGCCATGTTGGTGTACGCCTGTAATCCCAGTTCTTGGAAGGGTGTAAACAGGCAGATCACTGTGAGTCTGATCTAGTAGCGAGACCCTGAACACCCTTTAGACCTTTTCCTAAAATACAAAAAAAAAAAAACAGAAAAACCCAACAACAACAACAAAAAACACTTTTATTCTGATAGTAAAATTAAACTTCCTTTTTCCTGAATGTAGAGCTAGAAATATTTTTGACCATTTGATCCATAAGCCTGTCCTTTAACTTCAATCTATATTTCTTTTATTTATCTTTTTTATTTGCTTCAGGATATATACATTTTTTGGTTTCACACATTAGGAAGAATTTACTTTGGGCTCTGTGCTGTAGCAACTCATCATTCATTTTTAACTTACCTTCATAATTTTAAATGTCCTGATACAACAGACAAGAGCCAGGTGATTAAAAATACAAATTTAGGTAGCATAAGGGGTAGCTTCTGAGTAACAAAATAAATGCTACAGTATTTCCAGATTTCCTATAAACTTCCTAGCATCTCACAGAGAACCTGTTTTTCATCTTGGTCAAGGCAAAGGTCTAACTGGCCAGAATATGTGGTTTTCATGCCCACAGCAGGTGAGAAGCAGTAGGGTTAAAGGTTAATTGAGTAGATCAGTACATGACAGTGAAGCAAGAGAGCCCAGCAGTAGCGAACTCCAAAAGTCCTGCAGGGCTGGTGAGATAGCTCAGTAGAATAAGTGCTTGCCTGGCAGGCACAAGGTCCTGAGTTCAATCTGGTACCAAGAAAAAAAAAAAGCGACTCTCCAAAAGCCCTGCACCTTTGATGGCCTTGTCTGGGGCACCCTGCCTCGAACCTGGCCTGGGCTGAGTGCAGTCATTTTGGTACTGCATTTGCAATAGTGACCCGAGTCATTCACCAGGGGGTTGAAATGTCTTTGCAGCTCTGAGAACAGGGAGAAGCAGACCACATTTTAGAGTAATTAGTAGGTCTTGTTACTTTCTCCAATACTCTGCTTTGTCCGGTTTTAATACATTGCCATATTTTTTTTTCTTTTTTAAAGACATATGTAGATGTAGTTGGAGACTTCACTCTCTTTTCTTCCTGTGGGTGGTTCCATGATATAATTGATCATTATTTCCATGCATGTTTTCTGCTTGCCCTGGAAGTAACATACAGAGTAAATCATGGGAGTCATCTTTGGAAATTTTTATATAAATAGCTTCATACTGTACTTATTTTCTGCCTCTTAATTTATACTGTATTTTGGGAATTAAGCTATATTGACAAACCCTGTGATTTATTTTAACTGTTTTGTATTCTGTTGACAGAAATAACCATGGTGTATTTATTCACTGTGAATGTTTCCTACTTTTTTTTTTTAATATGACACATAGTGCGACACCTCTCATGTAAGTGTAGAAACAATATTGTAGGATATATTCCTAAGGTAGGCCTAACAAGTCATAAGGATTCATATAACTTCAGCTTTACTATAACTTGCCAAATTATGCAGCAAAGTGTTAATACTGATTTTCCTTCTCACCAGTGTGCCTGAAAGTTCCTGTAGGTCCAGGTAGTCATCATTGCTAGTTCTAGCAGTTTTTATTTTTAATCTGTGCTCATTTCATAAATGTAAAATTACCTCTCACGGTTTTAATTTGAATATTCCTCCTTTGTACCATCATTTATGTTACAGTTTATCCCTTCTTTGAGCATGGCTTATGGTTACAGCTGATTTGGTTAGTTCTTACATGAGTTGCCTTATTATATTTTCTTTTAGTTCTTTATCTTATGATTATTAATGACTAATGTGTAGGCATTTCTTTTGTACTCTGAACACTGACCCTTTGTTCACATATTCAGAACATGAATCTTTTGATCTTTCAAATGCTTTCTCAGTTTGTGGTTAGTCTTTGTAGTATTTTGTTGTATGTAATATTTTAACTTAAATAGAACAAAATACATCAGTCTTTTGTAGCTTTTGCATCATTAAGATACTCTTCCATGCCATGGGAGTCATACTTACATATTTTTATGTTAGGTTATGATAAAGGATCAGGGTCTATTCTTTTCCCTATAGATATTTAATTATACCAGTACTACTGAGTGTTCTAGTCTTTCCCATTAGCAGTTGCTGTAGCATTTATCAGGACCCACACGTGCTTGAGTCTGTGTCTGAGGCTTTTGTTCCGTTGGTCTGTTTGTGCCAGTAACAGTACTATCTTAATTTTGATGTCTAGGAGTGTGACCCTTCCCATCAACATTGTTGGCATATTTCAGGAGTATCTTGGCCATTCTTGGCCTTAGTGTGTGTGTGTGTGTGTGTGTGTGAGAGAGAGAGAGAGAGAGAGAGAGAGAGAGAGAGAGAGAGAGAGAGAGTTTCTTTTTTAAGCATTCTGCTAGGGTTTTGATTTTGGTTGTTTTGTATTTAATTAATTACAAAATAAAAATGTTTGGGTCCTTAAAAGGATTAAAAATTTCCTGGTTTTTTTTTTTTACAAAAATATATTTATTTTAGAAAATAAATCAATACATCATATATATTTTAGAAAATAAATCAATACATCATAAGGGTTCTTGAATAATCAAAGTTTTGTTACACTTAACTGAAGAAAAGGACACATTAAAAATGTTCATTTGTTTTGAAATATTCAAGAAGTTAAATATTTGAGCATCTTTAGTTCTTCACTATGCTTGCTAGTTTCTTCAGTATTTATTGATTAGTTGTTTTATGAAGGACATTCTGTTCTACAATATAACAATGATTTGAAAATCCCCAACAGTTAACAGTAGAGAAGTTTGTGTGCCAAGAGTTTTTTAGTGCATTGTACGTGATACAATTATATGTGATACAATATGTACTGCCCTGATCCAAGATATTGATGATGTTGAAGAACATCATATTCCCATGTTGGCTACATCATGGGTCAGATATCCTATGCTTTTATCATTTGTCTCAAAAAATGCAGCATCAGAGATAATGAAATCTTGGCTCTATTCTGTTCCATCAGGCCATACTGAAATTCCTTTTTTTTTTTTTTCCTGTATAGAGGCTTGTTGCAACTACAGGAAGCAAACAGCGCAGTCGCCTTTCTGTTATGGCCCAATACCTCTGCAGTGTCAAGCATATCTTTACCATTCCAGGTAAAGCTTTTGTTCCCAAACCAAAGGTAAGTTTCTGCTTATTTATATTCGTATATCAGAATTTGAATTTCTTTTATAATCTTTGTTTCCCTGAGGAAATAATCGATGAGATCTAATATTTATTTATATATAAACTGTTCCATCTTTTTTTTTTTTTTTTTTTTTACTTGAGTAGGAACCATGTACGTTCTGGAGTTTTTCTCCTCCTTAGAGTGATCAAATGCTAGGTTTATGTCATGGTTTAATTATCATCATTTGTAGCATCACCATCATTCTCTGCTGCTCTTACAAGTATACCAGTATGATAGATAAATGACATGGCCACTTAGTCTTTTAGAAAAGAAATCAAATATTTTTTTTATGATTTCTGCTGGAGAATTCTAACTAAAGTTGGATCAATATTTATTGAATAGTTCTTTTACACATTTTTGGCAGGATTTTGATGAATCTGTGGAAAATAGTTATGCTACTTACATGAGTAAGTTTTAATTATGAAAACAATGTTTCTGTATGCCAAATTTAAACAGCTGGCATCTATTTTTAGCAAAAGCATTGTTTGATGAGTTATTACTGAACATGTACTATAAAAAGTAAGGTTTTTCTTCACTGGATTGAGCAGTGGCTCTGGGAAGTATGGCGCTGGGCATATAACAAGGAGCAGGGTGTGTCATCAGATACTGAATCTGCTTTCAAGGAGTTCAGAGCCTGGTAAAGAGTAGAAATCTCTCATTGATAGCCAAAACTCTCAAATACAAAGTTCACTTCACATAATTTCCCCTTCATAAATAACATGAAAAAATTGTCTTCAGTGATTATATCTCACAGGTTTAGAATGAACCTTCTGAATACTAATGTTGAGTCTTGGAGCGTCTCAGCTTCACCTTCTTTGGTACCATCTTAACACTTCCTCTTCCATTTTGTCCTCCACAGTTAGCTGAACTTTCAGGTGACCGTAGGAATTCATTCCCCTTCTACTTCTTTAGCAGACTTAACTGTCAGGTGTGTAAAGTAGCCTTCACGGACTCACTTGCAAAACCACCTCGCTTGTGTATCTCAAGGTTTCACTGCCATTATAAATGACCTCTCTTAAAATAATTAGATTGTAGAAAGAATTTTATGATGAGAGCTGTCTTATAGGGCATAATCAGTCTTTTTTTTTTTTTTTTTTTTTCAGTACCTGGGATTGAACTCAGGACCCTGCGCTTGCCAGGCAAGTGCTTATTCTACTGAGCTGTCTCCCCACCCCAAACATATATCTGGTTTTTCACTTTCTTTTAGATTTTTGAGACAGGGTCTCACTATGTGGCCCAGGCTGTCTTTGAACACTTTTTTTTTTTTTTTTTTTGGTGGAACCGGGGATTGAATTCAGGCCCTTGTGCTTGCCAGGCAAGCATTTTTCTACCTAGCCATCTCCCCGGTCCTCATAATCAGTCTTAATATATTTGTGCTGTCGAGTACTTTCTCTCCTAAAGCAAGTGGCCATACAGTTTGCTTTCTTTTTGTCATGCATACATGTCTACATGTAGCCTTTTGAATGGTTATAGGCCTATCATATCAGAAACGAAGATCTGACTTACAGTTTTTATTGCTATCCTCCAAGAATCTTTAGATTTTACTTAGTTTTTTAGGATAGGTGTGAGAATATTAAGCAAAAAGTTTTTCTTGGTTTTAATTATGTAGTCAATATTTTATCATGTTTACATACTATTAACTTTATTTTTGATGTAGGATATGGTGCCTATACACTTAATTAAATTTTCATCCCTGTGGGATTAAGGCTCAAGAAAAGGTTGTTTTAGAAAACTAGCTATGTATTTAATTCTTTTTTTGTTTGAGGATATTTGCCCTTTTTGGCAAATTAAACATATTCATAGCAGTTTTATTCTCATGCTTTCATTATGTTATAAATGCAACATGCAGGAGATTGATTTATGACTTAAGAAAGCAGTTATCAAGAAAGAGGATGTATTATGTTAAAAAACTAAAATGATTAAATTTTAGTTCTTAAGTAATTTTCCTTTGCTCTAAACTAGTTTTACTGTGATAGAAAAAAATTGGGAAAACCCTAAGGAAAGCTCAAAAATATTTGACTACATTGAGTGAATGTTAAAAATTCATTTTCTCGGATTAAAAAAGGGAAGAGTTCTTTCCAACAGGAAATGAGTTGTAGGATGCATGCTATTGGCTAATAGTCCCTTTGGCTAAATCTTTTAAATGCAAGAAGAAAGTGTTAAACACAACCACACACAAAATAAGATAAACCAAGTACTAAAATAGATGTGCAGGCACATTCATGGGGGGGGGCAAGAAAGGGAATAATGCTTAGTAGGAATTTAGAAACATTTGTGGCTTATTTTCAATCAGAACTCTTTAAGAATTGGATGTGAAGAATTTCTCTTGTGAGGTAACAGGCTTATTTATGCCTACCTTAAGAGATTTTTCTGTAGTAATGTGCTGTCTTCTGCTTATGGGTCTTTTGATTAGCCAACTCAAGCATTAACGAACTTTTACCAAAATAAAACTCTTACCAAAGTTCTTTCTGGCTAGTTGATTCTAAATTCTTGCCACTTTATTTTGATGAACTTCTCTACTTTATCCCTGAAATTTGAACCTTAAGTACTTTTCCATTACAGAAACACTTCCTTGGTTCTTAATATTAGACTAACTAGTCTACTTTGGTATTTCTTAAAGTAGCAGAATGTGTAGGATATATATCCTAAATTAGAATTTTTTTGATTTTATTTCATTGTTAAATTATTTACCAGGGTCCAGGGAGATAGCTGGGTGGCATAAGCACCTGCCTGGCAAGCCCAAGTTCAATCTCACAAGCCGTGCAAGCATATGTGCTTTGTCATTTATTTTAATAACTTTTTAATCAACAAAAAATAAATATTTAAATATATTCAGTAAATTAGAACAGACTTTCTTTACCTTGTAACTGCTGACAGTTTGTCTGTTCACTGTAAGCTTAACAGCATTCCTGTTCTCTTCACACTAGATTGTAATAATACCTGAGCTATCACAAAATGTTTCCAGACATTGCCAGTTGGCCTCTACAAGTTACACTCTGCTTGTATGAAAAGCACAGGATTGGGTCCCAAGCTGCAGAGTGCCACTGCATGCTTTCTGTGCACTAACTGCCCAGCGTTAGTGGCCAGCTCTGAAAAATGCTAGCGTATTGTTCCCACCTTCACATGAGCAAACAGTTTCTGCGAGTTGTATGTATTGTACAGCCTTGGGGCCAACACTCAGGTGGGTTGATTCTGAAGCCCAGTCCACATCTATCTCTCCACATACTGGCTAGGTAGCTTTGGGCAAGTTGGCTAAATAACTTAACCTCTCTCAACCTCACTTCCTACAAGATCAGAGAATCATGTCCACTTGGTAGCATTGTTAGGCAGTTTAAAACAGCCATTATATGCAGAGGATTTAGACCAAGCCTGGCCTGTGGCACTTAGAGTAGTGGCAAGCCACTGAGGAGCAAAGGTAAAAAAAAAAAAAATCTCAGCTCCCAGTCTACTGGGAAAAGCCACTTGTAAATTCCTAACCTTGTCATACAAAGCGTTTTTCTGAGTGCAGACATGGAGGCCACAAATCTCTGGAAACATTAGGGTTCAGTTTACAGAGGAAGTCCATGTAAGCCCTGAAGAAACAATAGGAGTTGGGCCAAGGCAAGAGGATTGTGGGTGAAAGAATAAGAATGGTGGGACTGCACACCCATTTATTTCATCCTCGCTTTCAGTCCACATAGAACTGGGTCTTTCTTTTGTAGAAAAGAAAAGAGTTTGAGAGTTTCTTAGAGTTTGAAACTCTCTTCTATCTAGTTAGGAACAAAATATTCCATCTTTGTATTATCTTGAAGTGTAGATCATGTTAACAAAATTGTATGAGGTGAACCTTTTGTACTGTACAGGACTCTGGGCTGCATAGACTGTACAGAAATAGGCAGTTAACAACATGAGGGAATACAGAGGTGGCAAAGCAGTCATTGTATGTTAATTTGCATAAAAATAGTCTATCCGAGTTCTTTTCCATGTGCCAGTTTCTTTTGTCTGGGAAATAATACTTTGACCACTAAAAAGGAATATATACTTTTAACAATCACTTAAACTTCTGCTGAGATTTTCTTCTTAGTTCTCATATGAAATAGAACCATTTTTTTGCTATCCTCTTAATAGCTGATGATATTGATGCAGCAGCAGATGATGACCTACCAAATAAAGCAGGTATAAGTAAAATCTTTTAGTATTTAGTTTTGTATGTACAACTGGTAGTTACTTACATTATCTTCCTACCTCCTGAGTTATTGGTGTCTTCTCTTTTGTCATTTATTATAAGCAATTTTTGATCATATATTAATAAATAGAAGCAAGTCATTTTTCCTTTGTCCCTATAAAAATTGTTTTTATTTTCATAAAATATTTAGATACATATGAGGTAATAGTTGAATTTTTATCATAAATTAATATTAAGATGTTTCAATACATATCAGATTCTTTTAACCTATATTTTAAAAGCATTTTTTATACTTTCACTGTTACACTTCAGTTAACTAACTGCAGTTACTCATGGACAAGAGCACAGTATCTTTGTTGAATCACATTTGAGGGAAAATACAACTTGTTTTTATTGTTTGGATAGTCATTTGAATAGTATTGTGATAAAGTAGGACAATAATAAATTGAAATTGTTACAGGAGAAATCAACTAAATATAGAGAATTTTTCTGTTAGAAGTTAGAGTTGAGTTCTTGACCCTTTTAAAACAAACATGTATTCTTATCACTTGGCTTATATTTAATGTTTTAGGAAGCCTAGAGATTCTAGTTTGTGTTTGGGTTGGCTTTTCTATGATGTGGCAACCTGCAGTTTTTTTTCATTCTGCCTTATGTTAGTTTTATAGATAGATAGATAGATAGATAGATAGATAGATAGATAGATAGATAGATATCTGTACTTTTATAATTTGAAAATGAGAGTAGAGGTTGGGACTTTGGATAGATGGTTTGGGCAGCACCTGAACGTGAGGTGGACTATTCCTCTGTTCCTAGCATCACCCTCATTTCTCATGACTTTAGAACAGAAGCAAGTTTTTAATTACCTACCAGATAGTAAACATAGGTAACATTTTTTATTAACTACATGGCCAAGGTACCTTTTATACTTGGTAGTTAAGTGCTTTTATAAAATCCAATATAGAAATATGTATCAACAAGTAGTTTTAAAAAGGAAAAAAATGCTATCAGTCTTACTAATGTAGTCAGAACTTCTTATAGTTGTAAACCTTTAAGTAAAACATGAAAGCAATCATGGAAAAATAAATCTTAAAATATGTAATTATATGTGATCATTACTATTTTAAATTACTTAGTAGTTTTTAAAAATATTTTGCACTCTGTGGAAAAAATCAAGCATAATTCTGATACTCGTATCTAAAATAAAGTTCCAGCAATCAGCCAAAAACTTCATTGCTTGTGCATTATGTACCTACACATAATCTTTCAGGTGATATGCAGAGTTGTTTTCTACTTGAGTGGTGGAGGGCTGCTCCTGTTTGGGAAGGGATAGCCAAGCTTCTGGATTCTTTCTAGTATAGGAAATGCAGAAAAGAATTCCGGAGATAAACAGCAGGATTGCTGAAATAAATCCTATATAAATAGCTCCTCCAGGCTCGTATTTGTTGCTTTCTGAAACTGTCAGATCCAGAAAGTTTGCTATGATCTCCTTTGTGTACCATACTGTGGGTATAAAGCCAGAGACCCCTGAGGACATGAAACAGACTCCTCCGGCAAAGGAAGCCTGACTCTTGGTTTCTTCATCCCCTCCTAAGTGAGTGCATTTCAGTCCTACTATGGAAATGCAGATCCCCACAGTAGATAAAATGCAAGCCAAGACCATGGTGGCCCTCGCAGCCTGTACATGGGCTGGGAGGGACAGGATGGAGTTTTTCAGCATGCAGCTGAACATCCCAGTGCTATACCACGTGCAGTCCATCCACAGCCCATGCAGTTGTATAATGGCAGTCAAGATGTCGGAGCCCACATACACATTCACTTTCCAATTGGGCAGCAGAGTGGCTGTGAGCACTCCAGAGAGCCCAAATATGGCCAGGGTGAAAGCAAGAAGCTGCAAGCCCATGGAGCCCATGATGTCACTTGTATGTCTGTCTTCCTGGAAGATCTTGATGCTTAACTATGTTGGTGCTCCGTTCAAATTGTAGCTAATTTCTGTGCAGTACAGAGTCAAATAACAAAAGCTAGGGAAAGAAGACAAAGTCAGGATTAAAAGGAAGAAAGAACAAGTAAATGAAAAAGTTTAGCCTTAGCGTAGAAGCCAAAACACATCTGAACAGCCCTCTCCCCGTGCACACACAGGCACGCTCACACAGCAGGCGAGGATGCTGCAGCCCAGGAGAGCAGGTCACAGCAGACCTGGGAGACTGACGTTCTCCCAAGTGGTTGTGCGTGGGGGCTGATTTCTGGCATAAAGAAAGGAGTTGTCCGGTCTGTTCTTTGGAAAACCCTAGATATGCTGAAAATGTAAAGATAGCTGTAGGATCCAGTAGAGAATTTTATTAGCATTGTAGATTTTTAAAATAACATTTTTAATGAAAATGTGTTAGAGATTATAATTCAAATATAGCTCAGAATAATTTATAAATATGGATCAGACAACTTGCAAGTATTCAAGAAATGGTCTTAATAAAAAAATGTGTATTCAGCAGTGCCAGGTGCCATGCACATGACCCGAGGATTGTTCACAGAGAAAGGAAAGCAGTGAAAGAAAGTTCCTGGCTTGATTTCCCACCATTTCTAGGTCAGGGCCCATTGTACAGTCCTTACCAAGGGTAGCACTTGTTTTACATTAGGTATCTGGTATGTGAAACAGAAACAGTTGAACTACTGTTTTTGCTGAGAACATGAGCAATCTTTTCCAGCTGAGATCAGAATCACTCCTTGACCCAAATACAGCATTTGACTGCAAAACCAGCTGTTTGAATAGCTCAGAAGCACTGACTGCAAATCTCAAAATACTAGAAATCGACATATCATTGCTTGTGTGTGAGAGAATACCAAAATGCATTAGCCATTTTTTTAATTTTCTTTTTTTTTTTTCTCAGTACCAGGGATCAAACTCAGGACCTTGAGCTTGCCAGGCAGGTGCTTATGCTGCTGAACTATCTCCCCATCCCCTATTTTTTTTAAAATACAGAAGTAGGAAAATGGTAATCCAAACTTGGTAGCTAGAAGTAATTTGAAAAACCAGAAGGCTCCTTATTTTCATCTTCCTATTCCTTTTGCACCATTATCCTTTCCACTGGCAGTAGTCCTTTCTTTGAGAAAAAAAAATATATATAATTATTTCTGACATAGTGTAATACCAGCTTCTTTTGTCTAACTATTAATTTCAAAGGATATACCAGAGTGCTTCTGTAAGATTTATGTGTATTCTTTGAGTACAAAAGTAGGGTGGGCTCTTGATCAAAACAATCTGGCTGGTTCTTTGTTTTTTGTAACCTCTCTGGGCTTTCAGTATCATCTTCTGAAAAATGAGTTCTTAGTACTTAAGCCATACGGTTAGAGAAATTGATTCATTTTAAGAACTTAGGACAAGGCTGAGGAGATAGCTCAGCAGCTGAAGCACCTGTCTTGCAAGCATAGGTCCTGAGTTCAATCCATGGTACCAAGGGGGCAGGGAGGGGGTGGAGAACTTAGAACAATAATTAAGCCAGAGAATACTCACTGGTTTATAACTGATGTCACTGTTCTTTTAAAATTTATTTTGTATCATAAAACCGTTGATGTTAAAGACATTTGAAACTTGTTCTTTTTTCTCTGCTTCCTTAGGCTGATTTATTTTCTTAGGATCCTAAAACTGAAAGAAACTTGAGCTGTCATTTTGGGCATCATCATTTTATCAGATTAGGGCATTCAAATAAGACTCCACCCTGTGCTGTCCAGTACCTAGGCATTTTTTATCTCGTCCTACTTTCCTTCATAGCCTACATAGCCTCCATTCATCCTTTTACTACCATACGTCCTACTGAGTTTCCCATGGGTAAAGGAGAAAATGCGGCACTGGGAAACTGAAAGCTTCATTAACTGTTTCAACCACACTTTCCCATACAAGTGGAGGAAGAAAAAAAAAGGGACTCCATAATGTCCATAGCTTCTATTTTTGTTCCTAATTTTGAAATATTCTGAATAGAATTTTAGAGGAGGATTTCTCCAGATTTGAGGTTCTTAAATGTCAGGCTTAACTGTAAACATTTGTTTATAGTTACATTTCTCTAACCAAAGGCACTGCTCAAAAAAAAAAAAAAAAAGTAGGGCCGGGGATATGGCTCAGTGGAATAAGCGCTTCCCTGGCAAGTGCAAGGGCCTGAGTTCAATCCCTGGTTCCGCAAAAAAAAAAAAAAGGCACTGCTACTGCTACAGCAACCACTGAGACATAGTACTTGTATGCCTTTGTTATTGTGTGCTTAGGTTCTGCTTGCTGTCAGACAGTTTCTGTTAGCAAAATGTATTAGAACAAAAATTAAAGTTTCTTAAATACAGAACATATTTACAGGTCTATGATAGCTGTTTTCAAGTTTAGCATTTGAAAATGGCTCTAGCATTTTGGACTAGCCAGCTTGCTAAATTACTGCCTTCCAAACCGGGTGCAGCCTGTGATTTTCCAGGAATGAAACTGCTGATAATATTCCCTAAGATCTGTTTGCTTGCTTGCTTGCTTGCTTGCTTGCTTTCTTCCTTTGCTTGAATCATCTTATATTATGAGCCTGTTTTCCACTTACTAATTATAACCGTTTTCTTTTTTCTAACCAGTACATTTTATAAATTTCATTATCATTCAGACCTGCAGACAGCTTGTTCATCGTAATTAACAAGTACTGGCAGTGATAAATTGCAGACAGACCAAATGAGAGTAAATAATATGACATTACATCTAGTTAGCATAGCACTTGCTTAGTGGTGAATATTGGACTTAAAGCGTTTTCTTCTGCCTAAAGAATTTACATAGAAATAATTTGTTCTCCAATATGAAGTCACTTTTTGTTTCTCTTACATAAATATCTATACTGTCATTGTACCTTTGACAACTTTGCTCCTCTCCAACCACAAACACAATATAGTTGGTGGCCTGTTCTCTCAAATTTTGATGTCAAATAATGAAGACATACTGTGTCTCAGTGGTTGCAGTAGCACTGGCTTTGGTTAGAGAAATGCCACAGCAGTACCCAAAAACAAAGAAGGGGTACGCACAAACTCGGGGGCATAGAGCAAACACTTGCAATCCCAGAGCACACAGGACAGATGTGGATTTATGAACTATTTGCTAAAAGAAATTCTGCAGTAGATTTCATTAAAATGTAAATTCAGTTTTCCACATAAGATTTATTTCTATCAAAAATAATATTTAATAACATTTACAACTTCTAATTTGAACTAAACAGTACCTGAAGAACTGTACTTAGGTCTCTGAGCAGACTAGAAGCATTTCATTTTCCATACCTTTTGTTGGTAGCCTTCACCGTCTTAAATCCTCTCTGTCAATAATCTTCGAATTACTGCAGTCTCATTTAGGTAGGATGAAGAGAAACCACATGAGAATCTTGTTTCTGAGAGTGAATTGTTTCTATAAAGCTGCAACAAGTTAACTTGAAAATAGGAAATAAAGAGCCACATAGAAATCAGAGAGGTGAAAAATGCTGATGGTGCTAGAAGATAAATACCAGGTTCTCCATCTCATTTTTTGAGCTGTGGGAGAATTAAGAAAGGAGAGGCGGGGAAGGGAGGCAGTTGTTGTTACAACAGGATTTGTCAGAACCTGAAAGCTAAAAGTGCTTTTGTGTCATTGCATACAGAGGAAGAATTATTTGAGTGCCTACAAAAAAGCTTTCTTTTAATACTCTGTTTTCATTATATAGTTATAATTTAGTTTTGAACTTCTGTCTGTGTTGGAAGATGTTTATTATTTTATGTCCTTTAAATATGAATGTTTGTTAGTACATGTTTGCTAAACATAATGATTACTTTCATTGAGACGCAACACATCTCAGTTCTTTTTTTATTCTTAGCCTCCCTTTTCAAAAATTATTTTTGCCAGCATCAGATTCATTTATTTTCTAAGTCCTTATAAAAATAGTTATTATACATACAGATTACCAGCCAGACTGGGCTGGCGAAATAGCTCAGCTGATTAAAGCTCCTGCAAGCAGGTACAGGGGCCTGGGGTTTGATCCCCAGGCTTGCCATGCTGGCCCTGCTCCCACGGCATGCTGAGATGACAATTGAGACAGCGTGGTGGTCTGTGCCTATAATCCCAGCTCTTAGTAGACTGTAAACAGGCAGATCACTACGAGTTGGATCTACTAGTGAGACCCTGAACACCTTGTAGACCCTTCCCTACAATACAAAAAAATAAATAAAAACCAAGTAGGACATGTACTAAACCAGAGTACACTTCTAGCTACATTGTCTATGCTGAATTACAACTTTTTTGTTTTTTATTTCACAATTTATATACTGAGTTTCTCATAAGAGTAACCTTGTTATATCTTAAGCTTATGTATTTGATTTACTTAACATTATTGTCTGAAGGTGTATCCATTTTCCTACACGACTCAAATTTATCCTTATTTATAACAAAGTATATAAATATCACCGTCTATAAATAGCACTTTCTTTATCCATTCATCTGTTAAAGAATGTATAAGACTTTCTGTGATTTTTTTTCCATATTTTTATTGAGAAACAAATAGCAATGAGACAGTTTCAAACCAAATTGATAGGACAGTTTCAATAATTAACACATTGCATACATTCTTCCTAGTGGTTATTTGCTGTATAAGAGTTGCAGCTTTTTGGTCTGATAAGGTCAGTGAAATTCCCTCAGGATTTATCCTGAGATCCTGTTCCTCAGATTGTAGATCCTTTGTCAGTGTCAGCCATGTGGATGAGTCACGGCCATTGCTTGGCCAATGTGCTCTTTGTAAAGGTGGAGAGAATGTTTTCTCTCCATGTGACTCTCCTTAGGCACACTCTACATCATCGATCACTTTCCTCTTTGGCCCCATAATCTCCTTAATCAGAAAATTTGGGACACTACTGAGTTAAGTGACATTATAGTACAAGTTCTCCTAT